TGTAATTTGTGATTTCTATTTTTGTTGGCACTTAGCAAATTGCCCAATTTCAATATTTGTAAAACATACATTGTGGGATATGTTTTTACCTTTGATTCACACATAGAAGGGAAAGGCATTGGTTCCCAACAATGTAGTATGGGATTGTATGTGATGCAGCTTAGGGTCTTGCCACTAAGACCACACACTAATTATGCAACGAAGCAAGGATCCACTCTGGAATGTGGAGGCATATTTTAGATGAGCTGCTTCATTCACTCCTTATCTATGTATCCTCTAATATCTTAACTGAAATATGGGAAGGTTGACAATCCAAGGCTGTTTTTGTCATGTCTTATGTTTCTTTTCTTTTTTTTTGGCACATTTGCCCATGGATTTTATGCAATGTCTGCCATTTTTCTATTTTTACTTATTAATGCCTTCTTGGTTTTCATTAAGTTGTGGCACTTTTAGAATTTCACCACACTTATCCTTTCTTTCTTTTTTTGTTTTTTTTTTGGGTGTGGCGCCTTTTTGTGTTTTCAAAATATCCATTTTCTTTGACATATTGTAGTCATGGCATCTTTGTTGTTTTCAACATGTCTGTCTTTTTTTCTTTCTTTGTATTTGGACTTAACCCACAAAGCTCTTTTGAGTTTTCACTGTGCCTACCCTTGATTTACTTTTTACCACCTTCTAGATTCATAATATTTAATTCTGAGTGTTAGAGGCCTGGCGCAGGTCTTAGTGGCGCCTTTTTCCTTCTTTCGTGTGTTGTCATATCTAACTTGTCGGGTAGTTTGTGTCGGAATTAGTAGAGGCACGGGGTGTGTAAATCCTTTTAAGGTCATATGACTAGGACTAATATGTGTAATGCTATTTAAGGTCGTAAGACTAGGACAAAGGTATGTGTAACACCTTTAGAGGTCATGTGAATAGGACCACATGTGTAATGCCCATCAAGATCATATAACTAGGACCAAGACCGACCGTTTAATATCATGAGGTTATCAGACGATGTTTTAGGCCTTTGATTCCCTAGAAATCTGTTTATTAAAATATGTGATCATGACTTCCCAAAATATAACCAAAGAGCTAACACACTCAAGGATCAAATTGAGATACTTGTGAAGCTTCAAGGAAAGGAAAATGCAAGTTGATATCTTATTTCAATTATTCCTTTCTATTTTTTCTTATTCTCTTCTAATCTTTATCCTATTTTTTTTCTCTTTTTGTTTCTCTTTTTCCTTCATTTGGTCTCTGATCTTTTATTCATTGTTCTTCCTTTTTAATAAATTCTAGAAAAGAAGACGTTTGAATGGGTTAGAATTAATATTTTTTTTATTTTTCCTTCATTTTACAGCCCATATTCATATACGTGCATTACTAGAAGAGATATTTATGAATCTTAAAGGAGATGAATGTTGAAAGAGTGTACAGTAAAAAAGAAGAAGAAAGTCTCGTTGATACCTTCTTGGAATTATTCCTTTCTATTTCACCTTAATTTTCTTCTAATATGTATCTCGTTTTCCTCTATTTTTGTTTCACTTTTTCTTTTTTTCCTGTAATCTCTTAATTTTTTTCTTCTTTTTCAAAGCCCTAGAAGAGAAGCTTGAAATCTCTTTTTCTTTCATTTTCTTTTGATCTTGTATTTCTTCTCTAAAGCAAGTGTGATTAAAATATGTGCTAGGAAAAAAGATGAAAAATTGGCAATATTTCATATATTCTATTAATGAAAGGTTTCTATACTTTCCCTGCAACATAGAAGATCTATGCTTCCCTTACCATCCAACAATCCAATTTTGATCAAGAGAGCCATTCACCGTTTGATATTAGATCCGATGTCTCAAATTATTTTATTTTTAGGTTTTTTTATACAAATTGTATGAATATGAAATTTGGTACGTACCATCTTCTCATTGGAGCGCACCTATAAAATTTATTAAAAATAAAATTTTGATAAAATATAATGACCAAAACACCCATTGAAAATTTTAGGGGTATTTTGGTCATTTTATTTCATTAGAAATATTTTTTAAAATATTTTTCACAGGTGTGAGTTTAATTGAGGATTGGACTTCCAAAATTTGGTAACAAAATAATTTATACAAAAAACTAAAAATAAAATAGTTTAAAGACGTGATATTGTGATTGGGGCAATCTTAACCCTCCATTCAGAATGGATGGTTGGAGAAGGGGAAATATATAAGTTTTATGCTGTAGGGAAGCATAGAAAGCTTGTCGTCTTTCTCTCATCTTTTATTTTATTTTATTTCTACAACATAAGAAGTTTGGAAGAGCTAGAATTTTTGGTGATAAAATAGAAAGTTTGAAAATGCCTAATGCCTACGTTTTTTCTTACCATGCGTATTCCAATGTGAATTCTAAGCATACATACTATTACTCTTCTCCAAATGGATCTCGAAAAGGCAAGCTTTGAAATTGGAGCTCTCTTCTAATGTTCCACTTTCAAAGGGGGAAATTATTATGATTAATTCTTATCCAAGTTAAAATGGTATTGAATATTAAAGTTTGCATATATGAGGGTTGTGAAGCCCTCTTTACATTCAAAGCATGACACTCAAAATAATATTGTTTACACATGGGATGAATAATCATTGCATAAATAAAGCATGTAACAGTGAAGTCATCTAAAAGGCATCCTAAAATAAAATACCAAATGAATATTATTTTTCAATACTTATTTTAAAATATGCAAATTTTATGACCATATTTTTAAAAACTCAAATTATTTAAAATTTGTTTAAATATAGGTGATATTGTAGTTATAAATTAAAATTTATAATTCACAAACAACATAATTAATAAACCAAATTAACCTGAAGATATCTACTAATTATAATATATTACCTATAAAAAATAACAAGGTAAGTATAATATTTTTATGAATATCATAATTATGTATATCTAATTATGAATATTATCATACAAATTTATTTTTATTACAAAGTTATTAATATTAGGGAAAAGTATATAATGAGACCATTTACCTTTGGTACAAAATGATCACAATTAATTTTTGACCATTGGATGTGAAATTGGGTGGTCGCATTTATTTGATAGATCGAGCTCAAAGTTCAAAAGAAATTTTCTCGAACTTTGTGACACATCCAAGCTATTAGGTTTCACATCGGATGGTTGTAAGTAATTGTGACCTTGCTGTATTAAAAGTAAATAGTCTCATTGTATATAATCCTTCATATCAATATGCTAATCCATTTATTATGACAATAATAACTTAGTTTCATTAATCATAATTTTGATAATTATATAATATTATTAAATTTAAAACTACTGTCTATACTACATATAAGAAGAATTAGAAAGGACCATGTCTTAAGGGAGATTGTAGGGTGGAGAGATTCCCCCGGGAAAGGAGATTCTAAAGGTAATTCCTCGGTGTGGGACAGACCCCTAAGAAAGCTAGGGTTTTTAAAATTTCTCCCATATACCGTAATATACGCTTACAACATAAAAATCTTTATTTCTAAATACCAAGAGAATAAATAAAGCTTCGAACTCTTTTCATAAAGAAAATACTAAAATTGTAACTAAAATTATAGAAGTTCTTAGAGTCGGTATCTTATTTGTGTCGAAAATAACATAATAATTATAAATCGATTGAAATTTGTAATAAAAAATTAATGATTAAGTCAATTTTTAAGAATTGAAAATTCAATGATGCATAGACTTCATGGCATCCTAAATAAATTAAATTGTAGAAAAGTTTATATAGTGAGGTATTTCGAGACCAATATAATTCATCTATTCATAAATGGTAAAATAATTTAAGATGAAATTTTATAAAATTAAAAAAAAAGAATTTATACTATGAGATGACATCGTTTATTTATCTATTTTACTGTTTACCTAGTCTACCATAATTGATTTGATTGTTTTTGTTTGATCTCTAGGCACGGTATTGGATATAATTTACTATTATCATCATGCTTCATTCCATGCCATAGTCATCGATTACACGCAAGTGGACTAAAATTCCTAAAAAGCATGAAATAAATCTGTTAAAAATCTTTTGATCGTCATGCAAAGCCGTTTCATAATGCATACTATCTCATGAAATTGTTTGTTTATACTTTGGGGTATTAAATAAAATAAATATTTAACGTCTTTTATCATTGTTTTTTCTTTCAAGATACTCTCCATTGCATGGTACACAATTACTTATGCCATCGCTTAATTCACCACAAGTGCAACACACAATCCCACAAGTCAATTTAATGAGAGTCACATTAATGAGGAGAAAGAGCCACAAGGGCTAAAACACGGTTAGGAAAAAGACATTAAAGAGAAGGAAAATGTTTATATGAAGGTTGCAACCTTAAAATGTAGAACTACAGATGCATTTCAAAAATCTATTGAAAGATATTATTTTAATATACCTTCTAATTGAGCATCTCGACATCGAGATGTATGAATATGAAAGAAAAAAGAATTTGAGTTTAAAAAATAGTGTGTTTTACAACACATTATCTAGACCATCCATTTTTTAAATCTTCATATGTTTATAGATTGACTTGATTTTAACTATTTTTGAAATTTAAAATTTTATAATTAGATATAAAAATAGATTTTGAAATAATCCTAAAAATAATTTATATCAAAATTATATATTATGATGAAATTTGAAGGTACGCCTTAATTGGATGGTTTAAGATTGCAACCTCATGGAAACCGGACCCTAAAGAGAACCTTTAAAATTTTTGACATTTCAGGATTGCTCTTGATGCTCGGACCTTCCAATACAAGATAAATGGAGTACAAATCATGAAATGTATTTGAGTTTAAAATCTGAAGCTCTCACTCTCTCTAAAAATCTGAAGCTCTCTCTCTCTCTCTCTCTCTTTAAATCTGAAGCTCTCTCAATCTCTCTGGCTCAATTTCTCATCAATCAAACATTAATCTCTGTTTCCCACGCCTTTACTTTCCTTTTCCAAGTTCTCTTTTTGCTTTCTCTCTCGTCCTCTCTCTCTCTCTCTCTCAGCCACCCTCTCTTTCTCTCTCTTCGCTCTTTCTCTCTCTCTCTTCTCTCTCTCTACACCGCCACCACCCCGACAATAAAAGCTTGTCTCCGCTCTCTCCCGTCCCGTACACCGCCACCACCCCGACAATAAAAGCTTGTCTCCGCTCTCTCCCGTCCCGTCGGACGTGGCAGTCTTTCAACGGCCAATCTTTCCCTCTTCTTTTCGCAGTAAAATCCCTCTTCAACATATAACTCCAGTAAAAACTTTCTTTTTCACTCTGGACTCTTTTCACCCTCTCGACCATTTTGCTTTTTATTTTGGGGGGCTTCTCTCTCTGTTTCTTGCCTGCAAGAAGCGATTCTTCCCCCTTAATTTCTCTCTCCTTTCACTCTGTTGAAGAAGCCATTGTACCCAACTTGCCTTTTTCACCTCTTATCTCCTTTGCAGAGAGATAAGATATCCTTTCTGGTTTTCACCTGCAACGTTTCCTGTCTCTTCTTCTTGGCGGATTTTTCAAGGTAATCTTCGTTTTTTGTCTCAATTTTTTATGCATGTACTAATACTGTATTTTATCCACCTCTTTGTGTTCCCTTTCGCTTTCTCCTCCCACTCTTCTTTTCTCTGTCTTTCTTTCTCTGTTTATTAAATTGTTTGGGTATTTCTACCTTTTCCTTGTAGTTATGATGTTAATTGCAATGTTTATTTGTCTGTGATTCTTTTGTTGGGGATATGGCCTCTTAGGTCTTTCTGTCGATGATTTGAAGTTTCCTTAGAAATTTGTTATTGGTTTTGGGTTTTGGGTTTCGGGTTTCAACTTCATTCTTGGCTTTTTTCCTTTCTTTCCCTTTTGCCTTTTCCCATTTACTTTCTGTTGATTTAGCTGGGCATTATTTTCTTGGATTTCACTCATGAGGTTTTAGTAATTGTTCTTTTAAGTTTCATTAACGTTTGTAATTTTATGAAGATGGAAGATTAATTTTATGGGTGTTTTGGCTTATTGGTTTTTATTGTTATGTTGAAGCAGGAAGCTATTTGAAAGAGTGGTCCTTGGCAATAGTGATAAGTCCCTGGTTGGAGGTACTTCTCTCAAGTTCTTCTATAATTATGATATAAGAACTGCCAAGTTGAGGCTTTTTTTCAATATTGTCAATGACAAACAATTAAAAACAAAAAGGAAAAAATAAAACACATGAAGCTCCTGCAACTTTGAAATGCACCGCTTACCTTCAGTTTTTTGTGATTTACATTTGATTAACGTTCTCTATACATGGCAGTCTTTCATTTGATTGTATCATTGGGGACGGTTCTTCCCTTCAGATTTTGTAGTTTACGTCTCTATTTGTGGCAGTTTTGTTCTCTTCCCTGTGTTGTTTGGTTTTTGGGAATCCCTATCCCTCTCTATTGGCTTTGCACAAATTACAAGAATATTATTTGACATTGGAATTTGGAAATTCTTCTGATAGTTAAATTTAGAATGAATATCTCTCCATTGAGAGAGTAGGGTACTTCTTTTGGCATGATTACAATACTTGGAATCTCGAAGATATAGTGTTCTTGACCTTTGTCGCTTAGTAATCATTCACTCATGTTTTGAGAAATGTATTATCCTTGTGTGAAAATTTTCTCAAATCAGCAGAATTTTGTTAAATAATTCACATAATTCAATGAGGAAATACTGCATATGCATGAGTGCTCCCATTTTGTTGGATGTTGAGTCAGGGACAACTCCATATTTTGCCTAAATCTGCTTAAATGGCCTACAAGTTTTTATTGGATGGCATAGTTAAGGATTACATATATTTCAGGCCATATTTCATTACTAAAGTGAATTTGTATGCAGATGTAAGTAAATTAGTTTCCTCAAACTGTGTTGTGTTGCAGAATGGTATAAGTAACTCTTATTTTTCTTTGGGATTGATTCATATTCTTGACTTTGCCTTTTCTATTTTTTTAAAGAACTGTGCTTTAACAGTTCGAAAGGAAAATTTTCGTGCTGATTTGCGGGGTAAGAAATCCCAGTTGTTAAACACAATTTCGAGCTAAGAAGGTTGCATAATTTTGACTACTTTTCAATTGTCACTGGCCAGTTGCTATTTGCAACAATCTGTACAATTGAAGCTAAAGCGCTTGACCTGTAACTGGAGTTGGAATGTGCTTCCTTTTATGACTCTTTGATTTTCCATGGAAGTTGCAATTCATCATTATGTTGAGTCCAAGTTCATAGTTATTTCTTCACTTAAATTTTGACCTTCTAGGTTTATGTTGATGCCATGACTCTGCATAATCTCGTATTATTATGCTTGTTTAGCTTTGAGTCAATTCTTGGAGCTATATGCCATAGCCTTGCTGCAGTTTTCTGTGTAGAATCTATGGATTAGTTTATATCATTTGCAGTAGCAATAGTTTCTTATCTTTGCAATTATTCAAGAGAAACAAAGAAAGCAAGGTAGTAGCATAGCTAAGGCAACTTGATAAAAACTTGGCCCGATAATATTTCTTTGAGCTTTGAAATTTTGTTCTTTTGTATTATTATTGCTTAATGCATGCTTAAAACAAAGTTCCATACCATCTTTATGACAACTACTCCTTGCGATTTTATGAATGGAGCTACTGCTACTCCCAGTGTGGAGCTTTACAATTTTATCTACTTTGGTAAAGTTGTGAATTTTCATAGTATTATTCCATATGTTTTTGGGTGAATAATAATATCATGCTTTCATGATGGAAAAAGTAACTATCTTATGCCTTCACAAGTACTTTGGTTATCAGTATGGCTAAAAAATATGTTGGTCTTGGTCAACTAACTTTTTTTTACTACTTAAATATCCCCTTTTTATTTAAATATTTTAGAAAAAAATTTATTCGAACTTCCTTAGCGTATGAATCACATGATATATGGCCTTTATTCCTTGGTATCAATATCTTTGTTCATGTTGATGATTTGATAATTGCTTGCGCAAATTCTAGTATGGATAACAAATATCCTCGTTATTGTACTCAAAATCATTCATCAAGTGGCATTCTTTTTTATTTCCCCTGTAAATGGGTCTTACTTACAAGGGAAACCCTATAGGTTCCCCGGCTTGGGAGTCTGAAAATGGGCTCCCACTTTGGCATTGTTTACCTATGCATAGAAAAAATCTTCCTTTGGTGGGAAAATATGCTCTGGGGAAAGGGGTTGGTGCTTATATCTCGAAAACGATACTGCTTATCATGTTTCTTAGATTCAATTGGATTTAAAAAAGTTCTAGTTGTGAAGAAAATTTCAATTTGGAGAAAGTGCACCAAAGCGCTATTTTCAGGTTAATAAGTTTTGAATGCTCATGGGGGCAGTATGTTACTTTTGTATTTTGTTATTTTCAAAGCAATATCTCACTCCGGTTCTTGGTCTTGGTGCATATTGATGTTGAACTCATTTACCCTCATTGGCTATATTTTTAATCTTGTATATTTGGAGTGGATACATTAGAAATTCAAAACTTTATATGGATTGTTATTTTCAGGTGCATGGATTTTTGCATTGTTTTTCGGGCACCAATCATGTTTTGACTTGGTAAGTTATTATAATGTAATGGATGATTAACAAAAGGTCGGTATATTATAGTGCTTGTTTTGTTTCAAACAGGATATTAACATCTCATATGTCTGATGTCAACAATAGATAGTTGAATAGAGGACCTTTGGTTGGAGGACCGATGATTCTCAGCTGTCTGTTGTTAACATCAAACTGCTTGAGAAGCTGCTACTATATTATTTGAAACCAAACAGGCAATATAAGAGACTTTTCATTAGTAAAATTATATTGGATTTTATGATCTCTTTATAATTGTGTTTTGATGAGCATATGCGTACAACTATATTTCACACACGCACAGCTCATTGCTACTTCATCAAATCATGATTTTAATGACATGCACAATATTTCACACGCGCACAGCTCATAGCTACTTCACCAAATCATGATTTTAATGACATGCACAATCGAAGACTCCAAACCCTTGTTCAATAATGACATCCATCCTCTTGCATATGTAAGAAAGGTTATAATTGTTGGCCCTTTTAATTCTAATTTAGTTTTTTGTATTTTTAGTGTTTGTTGCATTAGTGTTTGAATGCACAATTTAGGAATTGTTGTGTATTAACTGCTAGATATTGTTAATTTTTTAATATTTTGTTCCTGTTATTTGTCATAGTTGTTCTATTGCATTATAGGAATTCGATTTTATATTATGCATTTGAACATACATGCATATGTGAATGATTGGTAAATGCTGATACATCGGTAAACATATTCTTAAGTATATGAATTATGAGTGCAACTTTACCCAGTTCTTTTTTTTTCTCTTAAAAACAAAAAGAGAGAAGCTTGATATTGAACCATGGCATTTGAGGAATTCTATACTTTTGAATGAATTTTATAAATTTGAATAGATCATGTTATGTTGCATTTTGGACTTATGGTGATAGGGTGTGTATATATAATATCTTGATAGCAAAGATTTTTATTAATTTATCAAAGGTAGTGCAAGGGAAGATGATGCAAATAAAATTGGGGTTGTTTTAATTTTTTATTTTATTGTTCTTTTGGGGATTAGATAGGAACTAATATTGGAAAGATATGAGGAAGATCAACCATGATAAAGATTGAAATAGGGGTGGTACGTGGGAGAGAAACGAAGTGAGACAAATATGAATGGTAAGTGGGAGAGAGCAAAAATGAGAGAGAAAATAGGGGAAAGTACGTAGAAGAGAGAGAATTATCTTTGGGTTTTTTTTTTTCCAAAGTTTATTTAAAGGGAGATGTCCCTTCTTTGTAAAGAGTAGAGAATGAGAATTGAGTAAATTTGGTCTTGTGAAAAGATCGTTTTTGGGGTGGACTCCCTTGCAGACCTTGAGAGAGGGTATATTCTCTCAACCTTTTTTTTTTATTTTTTATTGTTTCGGTTTTATTTTCTCCTTGCATCAATTGGTATCAGAAAGATCTGTGCTGATATGGAGAGCCTTGAGATCCTTGATCTAATTATAGAAGATGCTCGAAGAGAAGTTCGTGAGATGAATCAATGGTTGCATCGATTGGATCAAAGATTTAAGAAACTCAAAGAAGACCTAGTAGGACGCATTAGTAAAGTAATAGAACAAGGTCTATGAGATTTATTTCATAGATTGCAATTGGAACAAGAGTAAGAAGGATATGAAGAGGTAGATCTCAATACAAAAGGCAACGCCGATAACTCACATGTGCTAAAGTTTTAAATGTCAATTGTGAAGAAAAAGAAGAAATTTTGAAATTCAAATATGAAGAAGAAGATATGTGTGATGCAGTATTCAAAATCCAACCTTGTGAATCTAAAGGAGAAATCAAGATGAAGCCTGAGATCTCAATATTCTACTTCATGATAAGCACAAATTCTTTGATGAATGAGTTAGAAATTAAAGAAAAAATACCACGGAGAATGGTGGGACTTCATCACCAACTTTTGAGAATGCCCCTAAAAGATTTGAGTTTGATAAGCTCGAGGTTGAGCTTCTCCCAACCCAAGGATGCAAATAAAATTGGGGTTGTTTTAATTTTTTATTTTATTATTCTTTTATTTATTTTCTTTAAGAGTAGGAAGAAAAAGAATTTTTAGGATTAGATAGGAACTAATTTTGGAAAGGTAGTCTTGGTAGGAGATTTAGTTAGATTTAGATAGAGATGGATTTATGTAAGAGAAAGATAAGGGATTTAGATATGGGAAAGATCAACCATGATAAAGATTGAAAAATAGGGATGGCATGTGGGACAGAGAAAAAGTGAGAGAGAAATAGGAATGGTACGTGGGAGATAGAAAAAGTGAGATAATAGGATAGAAAAAGTGAGATAATAGGGAGGAGAGAAAAAATAGGGGAAAATACGTAGAAGAGAGAATTATTATTGGGGTTTTTTTTTCTTCAAAAGTTTATTTAAAGGGACATGTCCCTTCTTTGTTAAGAGCAGAGAATGAGAATTGAGTAAATTTGCTCTTGTGAAAATATCGTTTTTGAGGTGGATTCCCTTGCAGACCTTGAGAGAGGTTATATTCTCTCAACCTTTTTTTTTTTATTGTTCCAGTTTTATTTCTCCCTACATCAGAAGAACATAAGAGATGCCAAGACAGCACCCCAGATGGTCAAGAAAAACTTCAGTGGCTCACCTAGTAACGTTGAGGAAGTCACCCTTGACGACGATCTGTGAGTCAACCTTTTGAGTGTGTGGGCTCAAACCTACCAACAATCCTCTCACCTATGCAAGGAAGGAATCAAGAAATTCATTGGGCATGAGATTGAAAAAGTAGTCTCTCCCTTAGAGTCCCTTAAATGCTCTCCCAGTCCATCAGGCGGTGTTTTAGAACTCATCTTAATATTCAGAACTCTCTTGAGAACATTTGGCTTGGGTAGGTCCTGTGTTTCAAATTGCCCAACTTCTTGGTATGAACAAATGACAAAACGTGCCCAATTTTGCGACATACTAGAGTTTTAAGTTGGAATCACCTGTGTCTTGGGTCCCAAGATTGTCTCTAAGGTCTTGTTGAGTCTACCACTAGTCTTTAACAGGTCAAGTAGCTGGAAAGTGAAAGTGCTTTTTCATTTTCGATGACTATTGGACTTGTATAAGAGCATCTAAAACTCCTCAGTTATGTTCCCCATGTTTCAGCTTTGACCTATTTGGATCTCTCAAAAATACCTAACCGTGGCGGATCTATAAGATTGTTTCATTTGGGTTTTTGGTTGCAATTTTAAGCATGCAATCAATTTGCTCTTGTGAATAGAAAAATTCAACCATTGTGAAAATTTTGGGTTGGTTTTGCAATAATCTTAAACATATTTTTAAATTTGTTGCTTTTAAGATTTTTGGTTGTGTGATTTGTTGAACGTGCACCATTTGTATAATTACACTCTGGTTGGTGGTATTCATCATCATCCAAGCAATTTCAAATATTTTTTAATTTAATCAATGTGAACTATTCATGTGCACAACACAAATCACTCAATGTGCACTATTCATGTGCAAAGTGTAGCATTGTTGTAGTTAACCCCAGAAAAAAAATGTAGCAATGTTGCCCGCACTTATGACAAGCATTGTACACCCACGCACTGTGCAATTTACACTATGTTCCCCAAAACACTTGCGCACAAAGCACTACATAAGTGCACTTAGTAGTCTTGTTTACTGTGTATTGTGCACATCACAAATCACTGAATGTGCATTATATCAAGTGCATAGGTTGCATATGTTTATATCATTCAGTAGTTATAGGAGGAAGGCAAAGGTAGTAGAGTTGGTTTTTTTTTTTTTTTTAAATAATTGTTTTCTTAATTTAATCAATGTTCAAATGTTTATTTTTCAGAAGAAAGAGTAGACCTATAGAGATCTGGTATTTTTCTTGATAGACCTACTATTTTCCGTATGTTCTTCAGTGCTTTCGCACCATATATTTTAGAGAGGTTCCTAAATAAATAAAAAAATATTCAAATTGCCTAAATAAAAGAAAATTCTGCATCCCTTTTTATTGAGGCGTAAATGATGAAATTGATGCTTTGTCCCCATATCTTGTTATTGAAAATATTCTAAGCATCAAACTTCTAAAAGTTGTATGACATATGGAAAAATTTTCTTGATAATAAATCTGGATTTGGACAAAAAACTTGAGTCAAAATTCTTAGGGGGTGTTTGATTTTTGGAAAACACAGTATTGGAAACCGCGTTTTCCAAGGAAGTGGAATACCCCAGTTCCATGGTCGCCCATGGAACTGCCGTTATTCACTTTTTAGTCTTAAATATAAGGCAAGTGGATACCGCAATAATGACTTTATTGTAAAACCTCCCCGTTATGAAACAAAGAAGTGCTACAGTATTAGAAGATGCGGTTTTCAAAACTGGGTCTTCTAGAAATCAAACACGCCCTTATAGTTTTGAGATTTTTGGGCTGCTATTGGGAATTTGGATAGTATAGATCAGAAAGAGGGTGAAGATAGGGCAGCAACCATAGTTAATGGAATCTTCCAGCCTTAATGGCGATTTTGCTATTGTTAAATTGATATGGAAAGGGTTAAATTATTGTTGTAATCTTGGATTTTCTTAAATTTCATTTGAGACATTCTATCCTTAAAATTTATTATTAATTGATATAAATATTGTACTTTATTCAACCAAGAAGGATCTTTGTCTAGAAACTCTACTTAACCTCAATCTTAATTTCCTAAAATAAGGGATCCCGAATAAAATTTTTGTTTTTTTCTAAGTTATTATTAGTTAATCAAGTAATTGTACTTTTGTCATTCAATGAAAGAAGGATGGTATGCCTAGAAACTTTGGTTAACCTCGATTCTAATACTTAGGTGACCCTTGTTAAGGGCACTCGAGGACCTTGATTCCAATACTAGTGGTAAACCCTTATTAAGGGCACTCAATACATCGATTTCAATACTAGGGTAATCTTTGTTTAGTGCAATCGAGGGCCTCAATTGCAATACCAAGGAACCCTGGCTAAGGACATCAATACATCAATTCCTATACCAAAGGATTGTTGGTGG